TGGCCTGCTGTGTTCATCCAGCTCTACACCTTGTATATCTCTGATTCTCCAGCATCTGCAGTTCCTACTATCTCTGCCGTTGATCATCTTGGTGCATGTTGCACAGGATATCAGGAGATTTGTATGCTCAACGTCATATTGTCATGGGATCAGTTACATCCAGCTGAGCAGCCACAGTTTCAATGTAATTGAGAAGATGGCATTTCCAACAATGCAGCATTCCCTCAGTCCTGTAGCACAATGTCAATGATGGCGTGTGGGGCTTGAACATACAACCATTGAATCAGTGCCTGGAGTGCTAAAACCTAGTTGGGTTTAGCAGTCAAACTGACAGAAAAAAAATCCTCTTCACTGTCACTGTTAATCCAAAGCAAACTTACTCTTCTGTAGAGATGGTGCAGCTGTTGAACTGCACGACTGATTTAATTTTGCAGGCTGACTATTGGCGCAAGGACCTGAAATACAGCAGAAAAAAAATTTTATTCAAACAGCACAGAGACTACCTTGAGGCCAAACAGCAAAAAATCTGTCTTGGAAATACAAAAGCAAAGGGCAGGATTTTGTAATTGCTATGAATTAGCTAGAAATAATACACTAAGATCAAAAACCTCTGAAAATCTGACATCGTCCCTTTTCATATTTTATTGTGATCATCAAAAGGAAATTCAGGATAGTATACAAAATACCACATGTTTTATGCAATAAATTATCACCAGATATGGAGACTGCGAAGTAACCTATTTCAAAGTAGGCAAAATGGGCATTAGACGATAGTCATGTCCCACTGGGGTAGCAGGGTGGAAATCAAGCTCCACTACTCCTAGAGGCATCACAATAAGTTTTAATCAAGATACTCAAAATTCCCAAGTTACCTGTCAGATAGGCCAGGCTGACAGCAAACATCGACCAAGATTCTATAATTAACAAGAACTATTAATTATTACAAATAAATAGATTCTAGCCATGGGTAAACCAATATAAACTGTTGATACGTAACTATACCAATTAAAATCTAACCTCCTTCTTAAGCAACCCTACACGCTCATTTGAGACAGACTAAAAAAAAAAATTGGTGTTATGCAGAGAAGGAAGAAACCTAGAAAGTAATTCAACGGCTACAGTTCATAGGGTTCACTGACTGATCTTTTTGCTTGCCAGACTTGCTTTTCTTCAATCACTCTTCTCCATGTCTTCTTCAACTCTTAGCAGGAGGCACGGGTAATTGGTACATTAACTGAAAATGTTCTTAGTTCTTGATTAAAGCCACAGTTTACAGCAACTAGTGAGGGAAAAATAACAGGCTCTCTTTAGATTTCAGATTCTCCTTTGGAGAAAAGGACACACCCACCTCCTCGTCCAGCGGTCTAAAGGAACCTGCCGGTGTTGTTCACACCTATGAGCTGTTCAGCCAATCACGTGGCTATTGTCGGGCTACGGCATTTGTCATCCACAGCTGGCCACAACTCTGCAAACCAATCAGCTACTTATTGCCAGCTGAATTTCACTTTGTACACAGCCTGTCAACAGTCTCCCCCACTGCTTGTACAAAGCACCAGTGTAAACACAACTTACAATGAGCTTCAGAATCTAGTTTTTTTAAAAGTGCAGTAATTCCATGTACAATCCTTGGGTTTTTTTTAATTGATCCTTTTCAAATTTCAATCCTCAATCAGAAAAATAAAAGAATACAGCCTTTAAACAATGTTCAACAATGAGACCTTGGTTTATGCAGCATAAATGCAGTTTGCCAAAATTAATAAAATGATGTGACTTTCAGCATTAAAATAGTCACAGCACAAAGCTGTTTTCGCTTTCCTCATTTTCTGAACATATCACAAATTTCAAAATGGCAGCTTAAAGTAATTAATATTTCACTCATTATACATGGGATAATACAGACTAGGGAGGTCCTAGACTTTGCTGAGTTAACTTATGTCAGGCAAGACTCTTGGGAAAGAGGAAGAGGGTAAAGAGATAAAATTAGACTCAGAATCCCTTGGGAAGGAAGTAAAGACACACATTTGAATTAGGAACAGGAACAGGATATATCGCCTACTGAATCTGTTCTATTATTCAATAAGATCATGGCTGATCAATTCCACTGTTCTGCCTGCCCAGATACCCTGTGACTCTCATTAGTCAAGAATCTATCTACTCCAGCATGAAAAATACACAATGATCCTATCTCCTTGGGGAGGAGAGTTCCTCAGGCCATGACCCTGAGAAAAAAATTTTCCTCACCTCCGGTGGATGTGGGGTCTTTGAATATTTTTAAGATGAGGTAGGCAAGAGAATTAAAGGTAGATGAGAATATGGAGTTCAGAACACAAACAAACCATATTGAATGGCACTGATCTTACTGAATGTTCATACGTCTTAAATGGGAAAATTGAATCCACTAGCTCTAGTATAAAAACAAAAAGTGCTGGAGAAACGTAGGAGGTTGGCAGCATCTGTGGAGACAAAAACAGAAGTAACCCTTTTCACTGTATTTAATGTTTACTGTTGAAAAAGTGGAGGTGAGTTGCCTCCTACCTTTGCAGTCCACATGATGTAGATGCATCCAGAGCACTGTTAGGGAGGGTGTGGGAGACTGAGGGAAATGTGGCTTTGCTGGGAACAGGATCAAGTTTGACTGTGATACCTTTCATAGTAACACAGCCTACCATACTGAGTATCAAGACATTAGGTATGAAGATTGACCACTTACAGCACCAGGCAAATGGCATCTACAGATCTCAGTGACAGACAAAACAGCTTCAGGACAGGAGGGGGAAATCAGGAAGAAAAGCTGGAATAACACTGAAGAAAATACAAACCATTTTCTTTGATTGTAGGTAGCTTCTCCTTGTGGGCCTCCTGCAGCTGCTGCATGATAGTCTTAGTCAGCTCAAGAACGGTGCTCTTCAAACTGGAGAGCTGCTTATCAATGTCTGTGTCTAACACGGGTAACACCAGATCCATCCCTATCTCTTCCAGAGTTTGAAACTCCTACAAGGCAAGATATCACAAGAGTGATCATTTAACATGACTCACCTCTATACAAAACATGTTGTGCACAACATCAAAACAAAAGAAACCATTGCTGGTACATTGCCAAGCTTCCAGAGGTCATGTAACACCACTAAGTGAGTGGTATGTCTTGTTCCCTGACCAGGCCGTCTCTCTATCAGCAACATAAAATGTGGACTTTCTGTCAATGGTGAACAGGGACAGAAGGTCAGGGGCTCACTTGCAAAGGCAGCAAAAGCAGTTTCGGCATGTGATGGCCTGGACATCATCTCCAGACATTTGCATCTTTATAATTAGAGAGAAGTACCAGAAGTCCAGCAACACAGGCTACAGCCAGAATCCAGTTCACTTCAGCATAATACACTGTGGTCAACATCATTAGCAGCCTTGTAACATGATGCGTCATGTCACGGCTCCAGCTGCTATGTGTGAACATGACAAGACTTCTAAACTAAATAAAAGCAAAACACTGCAATTGCTAGAGATCTGAAATAAAATCAGTAAATGCTGGAAAAACTCAGCAGGTCTGGCAGCTTCTGTGGACAGAGAAACAGAATTATGTTTTGAGTCAAAGTTTGGAACTAAATAGCTGACAAACTTCTGCTTCACTGAACAGCTCACATCCAATAACACTGGAGTTGTAATGATATCTGGTTAGAAACATAGATTTGATTGAGAAATAAGCGTAACTAGTTAGGTAGACCACACATCACTATAGTCAGAAGTCACATGACACCAGGTTATATTCCAACAGGTTTATTTGAAATCACAAGCTTTCAAAGCATAGCTCCAAAAGATTGCCATTTCAAATAAACCTGTTGGACTATAATCCAGTGTCATGTGACTTCAGACTTGGTCTACCCCAGTCCAATGCCAGGACCTCCACATCACACATAGATATGAAAACTATCTAAAGATAAAGTTTCATTGAGAAGTTGAGTATTAAAGATTTAATAGGGAAAGTCAAAAATTAGGGTAGACCTAAATATGTTGTCTTTCATCTACAGTTATGTTATTAATTAAGCACAGATGAAAAAGAAACAATAGTTTAATCACTGAAATGAAGGCCTGGGAAGAGACATGACAACAACAAACCTAGGTATGAAAATAACATATTAATTACAGGAGGAATGCTGGAACCATCTAACGGATAAAGAAGGCAAATATCCTTATCACATGAACACCATTAGAAACAGGTTAGGGCAACAGACAAACTTAAAGAAAAGAAACATGGTTACTGATGAACCTTGAAGAAAGAATTATTTTGAGCCTGAAGGAATAAGAGATGAAAACAGTATCTATTAAACATCAAAAATAAATTGTTTAGAGAAAAGCTCACAGCTCCATAAAGGATTCTTCACTGAGAAGGAAGATGATACTAGACGATTGAACTTGGAAATGAACCGGATCAGAAAATGCTACAAATGGTGGAAAACCCAACAGATCTAGCAGCATGTGTGAAGAGAAACAAAGATAAGATTTAAGATTGATGACTTTTCATCAGAACAGGAAGTGTATTAATTTATTTTTCAGGTGTTTGAAAAGGTACAATGGAATCCTCAATTTAAACATGAAGTTCAAACTGCCCAAGCAACATTCCTGATCTCTTAATCCTTAATCTCAAGCACTGCAAAATAAACAAATCTGAAAATAGTTTCAATCTTGGGCTTGCCTTCAAGAGTTGGATGTTGTCAGCTTTCAACAGACGGTCTATCTCATCTCTCTTCCTGGTGAGCTCACCGCACCTCTGGTTCAGCCAGCTCTGGATGCTGTCAGCTTGAGCCAAGGCGACAGTCTCCTCACTGTCAATAATGTTTGTTGTAATACTCTGAGATCCTTTAATACAGTTGATCAGATCACCAAAGTGCTTATCAATGTCAGACCTCACCTGGAATGTTGTTTCCTGGATGAAGAAGAGAAAGTTACAGGTTCAGAGAGAACTGAAATAAGGAACAGGGAAACTGTCAGAATTGCCCGTGAATGGATAGGCTGGTACTCACTTTGATGGAAGTAACGCTCTCTTTCAATTTATTAATTGATGTATTGATATCTTCAATCTGACTCTGTCTTCTTATTTTCTCTTCCTGAAGGAGTTTCTTTATTGAGTATACAACATAAACAAGACATCCTTTAAAATGTTTGCTGAAGTACATTATGTATGTAAAACAATGGCATCTTAGATACCACCTTAAATCACTATACACTCATTTACATCATTCACCTCCACATTTTCTATCTGTGCAAAGTACTTTCACTTCATGCCTCACTCTGTTGCCCTATTGTGCCAGGTTGGCCTGAGAATCCAAATTTAAAATGACACAATTTCCATTTAGATAGCACCTTTCCAACCTTAGGAACATTGCTCCCTGTAAGCTTGAAGTCCTTAAGGTCCCTGCACAGGATGTGCAAGCTGGATCCTTTAAGTTACCACGCATATGTTGCCACAATACTAAAATTCAAAAGGCTGCACTCTTCAACAAATCACCCATGTACTTGAGACAACAATATCAGTGGGAATGTTGATTAGGACATTTAATGTTTTAACGAACATCTGTAGCTCGGGTTGCTGTTGGAGTCGTTGATTGGTTCACAAAGCTGACTGTTTTTCACGCAAACGTTTCGTCTCTCTTCTGGGTGACCTCGTCAGTGCTGTGTAGCCTCCTTTGAAGCGCTGTTGTTCTGTCCCACTCTGAATTTATATGGTCCAGTCATCATGTTGGGCTGTCTTGTTTCTGGTTTTGTACTGGACCGAAATGTAGATGGAGTCTATTTCAATGTGTTTGTTAATTGCATCGGTGGTTGAAAACCAGGCCTCCAGGAATTCTCGTGCTTGTCTTTGTCTCACTTGTCCTAGTACTGTAACTTTGTCCCAGTCAAACTGATGTCCTTTAATATCGGACTGTATTGAAATGAGGAAGAGTTGGTCATGCCGTTTTGCTGCGCGTTGGTGTTCATGTATCCTGGCAGCAAGTTTCCTGCCTGTCTGTCCTATGTAGTATTTCTTGCAGTTTCAATACACTCCAACATAGAAGGACATCAGTTTGACTAGGACAAAGTTATAGTACTAGGACAAGCAAG